GCCTTTACCACCTTGCGCTGGATGGTGAATTCCAGCAGGCGATAACCGCTGTCACCCAGGTGGTCGAAAACCCGCAGCCCCCTCACCAGGTTGTCATCCGTGGCCAGCACCAGGTCCAGTGAGGCGCCTCCCCTGGTGGGGCTGTGCACCTCCTGAGTTAGATGGAGGTCCTGCATTTTGGCTAGGAATCTATGTGAGCGGTCAGACCTTGCTGACTGCTCTTCCCAGCAGATGCCTGGAAAGTTCAGGTCACCCATGATGATGACCACATCCTTTGACCTAACTACCTCCGTGAGCTGACTTAAGAATTCCAGGTCTAGCTCCTCCCCGTGGTTGGGTGGTCTGTAGTAAACCCCCACCGTTAAGTCCCTTTCCCCACGACTGCCTTGTATTCTAAAGCAGAACACTTCAGTGTGCCCCTCCTCCGACCTTGTGCTACTTGATGAGGATGCGTATTCCTCCTTAATGTAGAGCACCACACCCCCACCTTTCCTCCCTGTCCTGTCCCTCCTGTACAGCCTATAGCCCTTGATATTCACTGCCCAGTCATGCGTCGGTTCCCACCACGTTTCAGTGAGCCCCACTATGTCTGGGTTGGTGTCAGCTAGCAGGAGGGTAAGTTCCTCTTGCTTGTTTCCCATACTGCAGGCATTTGTGTAGAGGCATTTGAGGCCTCCTGTGGATGTGTGCACTGGCCCCCTAATCTCAGCATTGCCTTGGCCCCTGTTGCTTACCTGGGTATTTGTTCTGCTTGTTGGTCTAGGCTGGGCTGCACTTGTGGGTGCTGCTTGGTTTAGCGGTCCAAGACTTCCTCCACCCTCATCTTCCCCTTCCCCCGACAAGCCTAGTTTAAAGCCTGCCGGAGGAGATCCGCAAACCTAGAAGAGAACACATGCTTACCTTTTGGGGAAAGGTGAAGCCTTTGTCTGGATAGTTGAAATCACCCATGACAACCATGTCCTGTGCACGTGCAGTCTCCGTTAGTTCATGGGCAAATGCTAGATCAAGCTCCTTCTCTTGGTTAGGTGGCCTGTAGTATTCACCTACAGTCAGGTCTCTCTCGCTGCGCCTCCCCCGGAGCTTGACCCAGAGGGTTTCAAGCTGTTCTTCTTTGGGGCCAGCATAGGCGTGTAGAGAGGTGTCCTGCTCTTTCACATAGCGGGCAATACCCCCACCAGTAATAGATACCAGAGTACATAAACTGAGGACAGACTTCTTAACAGTAGATCTGACGCTCTGTATCCTTGGTTCATTGTCAGGTTTCCCAGACCAGCAGAAGTGGTAGTTTACTTCATCTAGTGTTCCAGTTTCTGAAAGTCTCGTCTCATTGAGGGATGCAATAAAAACACCCATTTGATGTAGTTTTCTGTCAATTATGGCTGTTTTCTGAAGTTCATGGTTTTTCAATTCAAGTCTGCTTAACATAGTGTGAACGGTTCAACAAGAATGATTAGTTTAGAGCCAAGAAAAATGTTTGAAGGAAGATTATTTTTTTAGCTCACCTTTTCTAGGGCCTTCCCTGGACTGGGGCAAGCCAGCCACCCCTAAATAGGGCTGCTTAGACATCTGAACTTCTGTTGAATGCCTGGGTCCTTTCTCAACAGGACAAGCGACCATCGAGCACAGACATTCAATGTGTATGCCTAGGCAAAACAAAGAAGAAGGGTTGCCATGGGCCCTCCATCTTCTCTCTCAGTAGGGAGTATAAGATACCAATGGCAAGACAAAGGTCTAGGTGATTGGTACAGGCCTGCTGCAGCTTCTAAACAGAGAACACCACTCTTGAAGCGCCCACCTTATTGCATCCACAACTGCACCTTTTCGGGATAGGTGTGGTCCCAGTAGTGTGGGTACCACTGGCCAGCAGGATTCTGGGTCATCTGCTTTTCTGGGGACATTTCCTTCAAAATGAAAAATGTAAGATCATCAGAAGCAACAAAACTTAAAAGAGCATACAGACCAACAATAACCCCATTTCCTCTTCTGGTAATTAAAAGTAATATGAAAACATACCAACATAAATTAAAAAGTCTGTATTTTTACAGATAAATATACTGTAGGCCTTCACCTCAGCTATTGTCTTAATATTACAATTTACAAATTCCATCGGTTTCTCAGCCAGTACTGATTGTTTTCTAAGGTGCTTCTCTGCCCAGAGCTGTTGGGGCTTCCCAAGAGGAGACAGGTTTGTTGACCAGCAACTGTCCCTTGCTGTTACATCACTGGCTGCACTGTCTATGCATCCAGTGGCAAATATATGTTTAATTCATAAACAATCATTAGTGGTTGAGAAACGGATGGAATTTGTAAATTGTAATATTAAGACAATAGCTGAGGTGAAGGCCTACAGCAGTGGTCACCAACCAGTAGATCTCGATTTACTGGTAGATCTCAGAGCCTCTTGGAGTCAATCCGAGGTTGGGGTGGGGCAGCTGCGTGCCCATGTGCATGCACGTGCGTGCCGCAGCCCAGCAGGTTAGTCCATGGGTTGGGGAAGGGACAGGGGTTAGATCGAGGCCCCCGCGGTGAGGGACAGTGTTTCATAGATTGTTAGGGGCTGGAAGGGACCTTGCGGATCATCAGGTCCAACCCTCCTCCCCCCACACTGCTCTAGGCAGGAAGACAACTAGGGTTAGGTGACCCCAGCGAGGTGACTGTCCAGTCTCCTCTTGAAAACCTCCAGAGTAGGTGACTGCACCACCTCTGGAGGGAGTTTATTCCATAGTCTGGATGCCCTGACTCTGAAGGAGTTTTTCCTCGTATAAAGTCTGAAGCGGCCTTCCAGGAGTTTGTATCCATCAGTCCTGGTCTTCCCCAGGTGTGCCCTAGTGAACAGTTGTTCACCGAGCTCCTAATGCACTCCTCTGATACAGTGGTAAGCCACTGTCAAGTTGCCTCTCAACCTTCTCTTGTTTAGGCTAAAGAGGCCCAGGTCCCTCAGGCCTTCCTCGTATGGCTTGCCTTGCAAGTCTCTGATCATACAGGTGTCTGTTCTCTGGACCCTTTCAAGCTTTTCCATGTCCTTATTGAAGTGCGGTGCCCTGAACTGGATGCAGAATTCCAACTGCGGTCTCACCAGTGCTGAGTACAGGAGGAGTATCACTTCCTTAGTTTTACACGAGATGCATTGGTTGAAGCATGTGAGCATGTTGTTTGCCCTGCTGACCACTGCTTCACACTGATGGCTCATTCATGTGATGGTCAATCACTACCCCTAGGTCCTTTTGGGCAATGGTGCAAGTCAGGCTGTCCCACCAAGCCTGTTTGTATGTTGAGGGTTGTTTGCCCCACGATGGAACACCTTACACTTGGAAGTGTTAAACTTCATCTGGTTCTGGTCTACCCAACTCTCAAGCCTGGCCAGGTCTCCCTGTATCTGCCACCTATCTTCTGACGTGACCACACGGCCCCATAACTTTGGTGTCATCTGTGAACTTGGCCAGTGAGCTTTTCACTTCCCCATCCAAATCATTGATGTTGAAAAGCACAGGTCAAAGCACGGACTCCTGAGGGACACCACTGGCCACTTTGGGCCAGGATGACACAGATCTGTTCATGAGAACTCTCTGGGTCCTACCTTGTAGCCAGTTTCCCCCCACTGAACTGTCAAGCAGCTGAGCCCACAATCTTCCAGTTTTTCCACAAGGATATCATGGGATACTAGATCAAAAGCCTTTTGGTAGTCTAGGTATATAATGTCTACCTCGTCTCCCATGTCCAAGTAGTGAGAGGCCTGGTTGTAGAAGGAGATGAGATTTGATAAAACAAGACCTACCCGCGACAAAGCCATGCTGGCTGTCATTCAGAATCTTACCTTCTGCAAGCATATCGCACATAGATTCTTAAATTAGCTTTTCCAGGATTTTCCCTGGGATGGAGGTTAGGCTGATTGGCCTCTAGATGTCCAGGTCCTCCCTCTTCCTCTTCTTGAAGATGGGCACAATGTTGGCCCTCTTCAAATCCTCAGGGATTTCCCCTGTGTGCCACAAATTCTGAAAGAACTTTGCTAGGAGTTCCATGATGACCTCAGCCAGCTCCATCAGTACTCTCGGATGGAGTCCATCTGGTCCTCCTGACTTATAAATGTCTAGTTTTCTAGTTGGTATTGTGCCCACTCAGCATCCACAGTGGGGAGGCTGTCTTTCCTGGTATGCCCCTATGAGCCTTATCTCGTTTGTCTTTCCCCTTGGTCCAGTGAAATACAGAAGCAAAGTGGGCATTTAGGAATTCAGTTTTTTCCTGAACATCGATTTACCAGCTGTCCTGAGGTGTTAAGCAGGGGTCACATGCTTCTGTTTGTTTTCCTTCTACTGCCTACATACCTGAAGCAGGACTTCTTATTGCCCTTGACTCCCATGGCTAACCTAAATTCAGTCGCTGCCTTGGTTTTCTTGATCATTTCCCTACAAGTGCTGGCCACTATTGTATAGTCCTCCCTGGGGACCATGCCTAGCTTCCACTGTGTGCTGTAGAAGCAGGAGCAGAGGTAAATTGAGTGGGGCCCCAGCCGGGTGGGACTTACCTTCTGGGGAGGCATGCCCCCAAATAATTTTTTCTCCCTCTGCTTTGATCTGCTCCCCCCAACTTCCCTCCCCACAGACTTACCTGCTGGACGGGGTGGTGGGGGGTGGTGGCAGCAGAGCATGGTAGATCTTGGGTTGATTTTAAATGCCAAAGGTGATCTACTACTAAAAAAGGTTGGAGACCACTGCCCTACAGTATTTTCATCTCTAAAAAACAAAACAAAACAAAACAAAACAAAAAAATAAACAGATTTTTAAATTTATGTTTAAATGTTTTCCTGTTATTTTTAATTACTAGAAAAGGAAATGGGGTCATTGTTGGTCTATATGCTCTTTTGAATGTTGTTGCTTCTGATGATCTTCCATGAAAACATTTAAAAATAAGATTAAAGATTTGTAGGGGGTGGCGAGGAGGAGGGGCTTATTTGGAGAAATCAAATTGAAAGGAAATGTTTCCTAAAACTTTTCTTCCTACAGATGAAGATGATGATGTTGATGGCTTAACACAAGGATCAGCAAAAGATGCCCAAATTTCAACAGATTCAAGTAAGATGAATTCAAGTGGTGGGTGTTGGCTTGGTGTTGCCTTTTATTAAAAAAAATCTTAAACCTAATATTTCCCCATGAGTAGGCTTATGTATCACTAAAGTTCATGTTTGATTAGATACTGGGGGGTAGGTTTTTTCTTTTTTGTTTTGTTTTGTTTGTAGGTAGCAAGCACACTTGTGTAAGGTGTCTTTCATCTATGGATACCTGGGTTCAAATCTGGCTGAGGGTACAAGATGAATTCTAAACTGCATTCAGGCAAGAATAAATACAGTTATATTTGTCAGAACTAAATATCCTGGCAACTTAGTAGTGGAATTCTTTTTAACTATTGACTGTTCTGGAGTTAGTATTATCAGTCTCATTTTATGGAAGGCCAGATTTTGTTAGTTAGTTTAAAAGAATGAAGCAGAATAAAACCAACAAGGTAATCATGCTCATCTTCCAGAGATAATTGCATATAGTTACATAAATAGACTTTATGTAAAAAGGTAGATGTAATTAAAAAACAAAACAAAGTAGAAACAGCCTTTCAGGTCCCTTCCCCCCCACCCTCCCAAGCTCAGATATTTTTTTCAAAATCACACTGTTGAGGAATTTGCTATTTTGACTGTTTCACCTGAAAATGCTTTGATATATGTCCATATTTCCCCACTTAACTTTATATCATGCTTTTAGACTTTTAGCCTGTGTTGATGATTATAAGGAAGTTGACACATGGCAAGCTTCCTTATTATAAAATCAAACTAACCAGCTGTGGTTTGTCTACTAAACTCGCACTTTTTAGTGGTTCCTTAAAGTGACATAATCATATGTATGCTGGTATTAATTTTTGCTTACTGATGGAGGTTGCTGAGGTTTTTTTATCAGTGTTTCTCAAGGAGGTGAAATGTCTGTTCTGATAACCAAGATAACTTGATTGAAATTACTAGTCTAGTACAATTTACCTTTTACATACTGTCCAAGGAAAGTTGAAAATATTGAAATCTAAATTTCAACTTTGCTTTTCCTGTAAAATTTGAACTAATAAAACAAGGAACAGGAGATGATAACAATTAGTCTTTTATCAAAGACTAATGTAAAGGATCTTTAACTGTGCTATAATTAAAATGTTTCCACTGAAATGCATGTATGTTAACACAGCAGAAATCAATTCAGTCCATCCAAAAAAATGACACTTTTCCTGCTGTGATTTGTGGAAAAAATTGGAAGAGTGATTTTAGTGTTCCCCCACAAGGTATTAGTAAGCATTAATGACTGAAATGATCATTTCTGGTTTGATATTTTGCATATGTAACAATCCTAGCGTTGGGTATTTGATCAAATATAGGTCAAAATTGTTAAAAAATTGCCGATAGGCCCAAATACCATAGAGACAAAGCACGCATTTTCTGTTAAGAAATGTGTCAAAAAACAATTTTAAATCCTTTTTCTGTCAAGAAAACTACAAAAAATGTAGTTTTCTTGTAAAAATTTGTATAATCTTTGATCAGCCAAAAAATACACAGTCAATTAACAGGATTTGATCGGTCAATATTTGATTGGTCACTGGACTGGCTTGCCAACCCTAAACAATCCCCAGAGGGGAGATCCTCCATAATTCTCAAAATTAAAATAGTTTATTAAGAACTCTTAGTATTGTGTCAAGCTGTAAGGGAAGCACAGCATTAGATTCTGCTTGAGCTAGCTAGTGATTGGCCCCAGTAATATGGGATTCTGTTTCTGAGATTCTGATTTTTGGATCCACGAACAATTTCTGGAGTAGGCGAATCCTTCAGAGTTCCTTACAGGGTATTTTGTGCCAATGCTCCAACTCATTTTGGTGAAGGTTATAATCTGATTATGGAAAGGCACCAGTAAGGTGTCTTATGTAAGTCTTGAATCTGCTGGCAGTCAGAAATGATGATGCTGAAAATCTGCAAGTAGATGTAGCAGTTTCCAGGATAACAAGACATAAAGCAGATGTTGGATGTCCCACAAGGAGCAGCTTGAAAAAGAAAATTGTCCTTTTCATAGTGCAGTAGTTCTGTTACAGGTCCTTATGTACAGCTATATATGCTGATTATTCCTAAATGATGCTGGTCAGATAGATTCAGATTAAACTAGCTCAGATATTGTTCCAGTTGAACTCTGCAGTTTTGCTTATGGCAGAAACATGGAAAAATTACAGGAACCGCTAGAGAAGGATCAGGGTGATTGCAGTCACCAGTGTGGAACAATGGCAGATCACAGCTTTGCAGTCCCAAAATTCTTTAAATTTACGGGAGCTTCAGACAGTCTCATGCAAGAAAGTAAATGCCTGTTAGTGATAGGCACCACAGTTTATATATATAAAAAAAAAGCAGGGTGATGTGAGGAAAGAAGTTTTCCTCCCTCCTTTCCCCTTGACCTCACAGCTAACAGGGTGAAACATGTATAATTCTGGTCAATGTTATTGCTGCCTGCTGTGTTATTGTGTGGTAGCAGTAATGATGACCAGTCTTACTAATTTTTCTGTTCTTGTTTTTTGGACAGTAGGAGAGGTGCTAGAACAGTCAGTGCATAGTGGGTAATGAAAAATGCTACTGCAGTTGTCATTCTTTACCAATATGAGGGTTAATGGGTAGATCTAGGATTTTGAAAAGGGGAGTGCAGGGGATGTAATCAGCGGGCAGGTTGGGCTATAGCAGCAGTTATGGGGGATTTTTTTGTGTGTATTCCTGAAGCAGGTATGACTTCCTCTGTCCCCCACCCTATTCTGTGTACCCCTTCCCCATGGTGTTCAGTGGCACCTTCTCTACCCTCCCATTTCCCCCTTCCTCCCGTCCAGCTACCCTCCTCTGGGCATGGAAGGGGGACCCACCTACCTCTGTCCTTTGGTACAAGGGAAAGCCCCTAGTGACTCATGCCCTGATTGAGTTGGGAGCCACAGTGAGAGAGACTGCATACAGTTCTGGACTCAGCTGGGGACAGCAGGAGCAATGAATAGGTCCCCTCTTCCAATGTCTGCTGCCCACATGTGTCCCCCACTGGCTGGGTGTGGGTGCTGGAAAGGAGGGATTAACCTGCTATGCTGCCTATCCCCAGCCAAGCCAGCATAGCCACTCTTCACAGCTGGAGCCCCAGCTGTGAAAGGAAGGAAACCTGGGGGGAGGAACCAGGGAACAGACCTGCAGGGTGCTCCTGCCACAGAGCGCAGCACCTCATGCAGCCACTCCTGGCAGCCCCCACCTGGTGAGCTACAGATGAGCTACACTTTTAAATGAGTGCTACTGAACAACTGCACCCGCCCCCATGGATCTTCTTAGAAGCGTATTTTTTTTAAAAGCATAAATGCTGCTCATACTATTGGATTAGGCTTCCTGAATATTTTTCAGAGAGAAATTTTTCATACCTTATTAATAGACTTTTTTTTCAAGATGCTTTGATTTCTTTTGAAAGAGTTAAGAATGCAAGAGCTGTCCCTAATAATGAGAGTCTTAAAATGCAAGGTTTCACTAAATGCTATATAGCTTATTCCAAAGAAACTCCTGTCATCAATCAAGTTGCATGATTTGGTGTATCATGCCTACAATTAAACTTTGTCCTCTCTCTTTTTTTCAGTCTCTCAAAAAGCCCATTGGCAAAAAAAAATAGAAGGGCCTCTGAAAAGGAAAAAGTTCTGTTTGGTACTTTGGTGGAATTATGATCTAGTTTTGTCAAAAGATTAAATATTTCAAGGGTTCAAGGCTAAAATTGTTAGTGTGGTAATTTCATTATAAAAGTAACTCTGTTAAAATATTGAAGTTAAACAGTAATGTTTCAACATCATTCACAATTGAATCTCCCTTTTAAAATCAGAGGGAGGAAGGCCAAGAACCTCATTTTTAATCGCAGTTATTTTCCAGAAGAGAATTTTGAATACAGAGTATACAAGATCTTCCCTCTCCTCCCCATTGTGGGTTTGTGTGTTGGGGGAGGGGAGAGATGGGGGGGGGAAACCAAAAAACTAGTTTCCCAAATTACTACTTGAGCAAAAGAAAAGCATGTAATATCAAGATGACTGTGTTTTTTAATTTTAAAACTGTATTGTTTCAATCCTTAGCATCTAAGTGAATGTGTTGGATCTCTTTCAGGACATAGGCCTTAGTTATTTTAGAGAATAAGTTTTTGTAACTGTACAGTAAACGTTTTTCTGGTCATTTCCAAAAAAAAATAAGTGTGCTGCTCTCCCCTTCCTCCCCACCTCTCCCGAACAAAGGAGTGCTTTTTTCATAAAATTTTTCAAGTACAAGTCAGAATACAAGAGACAATTGGACCTCAAGCCATTCTGCAAAACAAAGTTAACTGTTCTTTTAATTCCTTTAGTTTACATTTAATTCTCTTCGTCTGCTGGAAATGAGGTAGAACAGTCATAGTATTTCATCAGGTTATAATTCTGTAATCAGTTATTCTTCCTTATAAAATGGGCAATACCAAAAATGTTACAGGATTTCATTGTATAAACTGGATTTATTTGATATAGCAGATTTTCATTATTTTAAGGAAGGCATCACACTAACCACTAAATATAGAACCAAATATAAGGGTGTTTGTGCCTGAAAGCTTGCAAAGAACAGTTTTTCCAGCTATTTAGTTGGCTTAATAAAAGATGTCACACTTGTCAAAGAACCTTGTCTAATAAATATCCTTGAACTTGGGGCATTGTTACCTATCTTTAAAATGGTACTTAAAAGGAAAATAAGATTTCAGCTCTAATCGGAACAGATCACGTTCAGCCATACATTATCTTGAGAAATAGAATATTCAGGAGTAGTTTCTAAGGATTTCTAAAGATCCTTTCTGACAATAAAGCATCTGATAATGTTAGATAATCTGATAATGTTAAGGACAGCTCAAACAAAAAATCCATTTGAATTATTTAATCTTGGCGCACATATCATTGTTTGCACTGTATTTCCAAAAAGTTTGTCCATAAGTTCAATTCCTAGAGATGATCCTAAAGTATATGTTAGCATAACAAGTTATGTCAACATTATTGCAGGGAGAATGATTGTATTTCCTCTCCATTCTTAGTGTCCAAAGGAAGATTCATTCAGGAAGAGTGGCCTTGTACATTTTGTGATTTTTTTTTTTTTTTTAGGTTCTATCGACACTGCAATCAAAACTGTAATTGCAGAGCAGAGATACCAAAACTAGCCTTTAAGTAGTTTGCATACTTTTAGTTGTGACTTGGGGTGTTTAACAGGTTGTATTGAGTTCTGTGGTGTGCTGACAAAATTAGAGTTTCTCATCTCTCTCAAAACTCCTGCTTTCTTAACTGGTCATAATGGGAGGCAGGGTGTGAAGCCCTGTAACAAGTGTCTGCAGAGCTGATGCCCTTCCTTGGAGAGCCTGATACTAGCATGAAGAAATCGAGGCAGCAGGTATAAAGAGAAAACAGTGGCTTTGTTGAAGGGTGCCTGTGAATCTAAAACAGGGTTTTTGTCTTGAAGAGCCTGAATAGGCTCTAGGAGAAATCAGCATAGTCCTAGAGTCCTTTAGTGAGTGGAGGGTCTTATCTCCTTTGGATCTACACTGTTTTGTGCCCTCAAAAGACAGGTCTTCCACTGAGGTTTGGGCCATAATGCTTGTTTCATATTTATAGCAGTGGCCATGAAAGGCAGTGCCTTATCTGCTTCCCTCTACTTCTACAGTCTTCCTCATATTCCACATATCAGAAAAAACTCTTATCAAAAAAGCTGCATCAAAACAAATTCAAGGCCATTTTGGATAAGAGTTTTTTCTGATATGTGGAATACGAAGAAGACTGTGGAAGTAGAAGGAAGCATGTCAATGAACCTGGCAATACAGATGTCACACACCTGTCTGTAGGATGCCCCCAGAGCCCCAAGTTTTTTCCCCCCACCGTTTGTCCCAAGGAACAGACTGTGGTTTGCCCTGGGATAGCTCCTTGTTCCTGCAAGCCTCAGATCCACTGCCCATATACCAGACCTCACAGATGCAGCAGGAGAATCTCTGCCAGCTTTACGTAGCCTTCCCTCTGGGTTGTAAAATACATTTTAGGCCTCCCTCTCTGTAGAATGGGCTAGCCTGGAATATCACTTGTCCAGAGATCGCTCTTTCTACAAGCAACCAGTAAGGAGACAAATAACAAAGGGATTTGTTAAGTAGGAGAAAAGAATTATGCAAGAAAAACTGACTACCAGTTTGGAGACAGAAACACCAGACAAGTAAAGTTTCATACCCTTTCATCTGGGTATACTCTAGCCCTCCTGAGTCCTGCCAGTATTTCCAAAGTTTAGACCTCCTGCTGATTCTGAAAGCCCCAATTGCTTGGGAACCTCTGAAGCCTGAGATGCAGGCCACTTCACAGATAGCCTGTAAAGTACCTCCAAACCATTCTCCCTATCAGCATTCTCATGAGTCACTAAAATCCCCCAGCAATTTCTGGTTTCCCTGAGGCAGATAGTATTTCTCTGGCTAGTGGGCCATTTCTTTCAGATGCTTTTGCTTTAGAGGAGTTGATTTCCCTATTACAGGCAGACAGTGCCTTGCATGCTCAACCCAATAATGTTTCCTTCTGCCTGGGTCTGGGAGTGGCAGTTGTTCTTAAACATGCATCCCTAAATTCCAAAATCATAAAGAAATGGGTATGGCGTAATGTAATCTATACAGTGATACCAGCAACTTAAATGGATACACTCTAAAATGGGCTGCCAACAAAACTACACATACCTTATCAGTACCACAAAACACAAGAAAACATTCATGTCACTCCACAAACCTTCAAAGTGGGGTGGGTTTGCACCGGTCATATATTTTGAAAACCGTTCTGATCCAATAAGGATTAATAGTTTGTGATGTAGAACCACAAACTTGCCGACGAGTAAGCTCTCTTGCTGAAGAGGTCCAGATGTCTATGATACTTCTCTTAGTGCAAAGCTATTGTTCCCTGATTGTTTTTCCATAGGCTGCCATCACCACCAAGATGGAAGGAGCTGAGTGCGAGTGCTTCCTTTGGTAGAAGTCTGTACTTCTTGTCCATATGCTTGTCAGCTGACCAGCTAACATGGGAGAGTTGCAAATCAGAGGCTGGCTGTAGAGTAGCCTTGCTGTTTGGCACTGCTACATTTGAAGCCTTGAATTACTATGAAATATTCCCCAATGACATTTTCAACTGTCTTCTCTAGAGAGAGGTTGAGGTTTTAATGCCGTGTACCATTGGCATGTACCATTGTTTGGAAACCTCTAGATTTCTCCAACAAAAAAACAGTGTCAGAGAAGTATACTTAACTGACTCTTTAAAAAATATATGTTTTCTTTTTATAATTGCATATTCCATTATAGTATAAAAGTTTCAGTATTGTTTCAGTTTCGTTGAGACCTGTATCTGAAATTACCCTGACTCTTTAACCATTGGAGAGGTATCTGTATGCATCAGATTGCTATTTGATGTGTTATTCTTTTTATTAGATTTTAAATTTAATTGAAAAGCATGTGAGGAAAGCAATTATTTTTAAAGATTATAACTTGTATGCTTAATTTACTCCCATATTCTGAGAGTTCAGGTTATTTTAAGCACTTCCTTCACTAAGTTAGGGCCATCAAAGTTTCCAGAAAAAATGTCTTAGTTCCCAGGAGGGAAACAAACATTTTTTCCAGAGTCATGGCCACCTGTGTGAAATGAAGCACATTTTCCTGGGAAGCATAGTATGTCCAGGAGGTGTAGCATCCCAGGAGACAGCTTGGTTAGGCAGCAGGAACTTCTTTGTGTGGCAGAAAGCTTTTGCTGCCTGACCCTGACTGTCTCAGATGCCACACTTCCTGGGCACTCCATGTTCCCAGGAAGACTTAATGTGTCACACAAAGTTAGGCCCCAGACCTTTGCAAGGGCACTATCAAGACTTAGTTCTTTGGTGTAAGTATTCACAGGAACTTATAAATAACTAAAGTGTTGTTTCCACATCACAAGCCTCATCAAGATACTACTAGCCATTCACTTATTACTTCAGGCACATGCTACAGTGCTCATCCAATAGCTACAGCTGTGAGAGGGTTAACATAGGATGCCACTCCTTCAGCTGGCTGAGCTGGACATAAGCAGCAATCATTTTGGTAGCTGCATAGCATGGATGGTGTCTTCAGGCATGCTTCTTTTCCAGTGAAAAAAACATTTTTCCGGCCTGAGGTGCACACTCCAATTTTGGGGGACTCTCTTTTTGGGAAAAGATGCATGTTGTATGGGAGCAAATACAGTAAATTAAGTTGCTTAATAGGACAAATGCTGGTGTTTAATAGTTACCTTGTCCACTCACTGTTTGAATACATTTTAATGGGATCTGATTAGGTTAAATGTTGTTGGAATGTAATAGTTTTTTGTTTTATTTAGGTAAACAAACATTAAAAATATTTGATGGGAATGATGCAGTAAAACGAAATCAATTTCGTCTGATTTCAGTTCCAAGGATTGCAAAAAATGAAGAAGTTGTGGTAAGAAGAGGGGTTGAAGCAAAAAACAATATTACATGATTGATTGAAAAGTTTATTGGCTGAAAGCTATTCAGACATTCAATTATTTGATAAATGCAACTGAACAATAAAAACCTGTGTAATCTAGCCAGAATACAAGAACATAAGTAGGTGTTATATATAGTATTGTTGTTATTCCTGGTATTTCCAAATGTTTATGAAATGCTAATTTAGAAGTGTATGCTGTAATTCAGGGGTGGGCAATTATTTTGGCTGGAGGGCTGCTTAATGCATTTTGGTGAGCTGTTGAGGACAGCAAGGGTAGCCCTGCCCCTTGACAGGTGCCCCACTCCCCAGTCGCCATCTTTGGACCAGAATTCCTGCCCCAACCCCCGACGTTTTGCCACCAGAAGTCCCTCCCCTTGCCCTGAGAAGTACTCCTTTGGGGGGGCATCTGAACCAGAAAAACAATAAATCATACATCAAGTCAAACACCTGTTGTTATAATTCATTTCAGTTTTATTGCAAAAAATATATTTGTCATGATTTGTGTTTTATGTAGTGTATATAGAGGAGATTGCATAATAGCTCAAAAATAAAGTTTTGCTCTTGTATATTGTGT